CGGACGATGGTGAGTGTCAATTTGTCCATGGTCCCGTAACATTTGTCTTGCAGAGGTCCTGTTGAAGATGGATGTGGTCGGAATATGTGGGTCGGACGTGCACTACTTGGTGCACGGTCGTATCGGGCACTTTGTTGTGGAGAAACCGATGGTCATTGGTAAGTGTGAGTCGTTATAGATTGATGGTATAGGTACTGCGTTGTAGGTCATGAAGCTGCCGGGACAGTGTCGAAGGTGGGGAAGAATGTCACACACCTAAAGCCAGGTACACATTCACCCTGATCATCTTCTTTTGTTTATATACAGGGTAGGGCTAATAATGTAGGTACCCGGTGCACAGATTACTTATTCCAATGCAAAATGCCCATCCTTGGACTAACAATGGCAAAAAATAGGAAATTTGGAAACAATAGGTTTCTATGTATTTTTGTCCATTTTATAAAATTGGAAGTGGGGGGTTGGATTTGTTTAAAAATAGAACAATTTTGAGGTGGTGACTCGCATTATTAATGTATTATAGATGGCGTTATTGATTTTGGACTTTTGTTACAATATTTTAAATGGAAATCGGAAAAGGTTAATGCCTTAAATAACCTCGTCGACCTAAAGCGCCATCTGCCGGCTATCAATAATCCTAAATTAATAATGCAGATACGGGCTTGAAATCCTGTAGTATACCATTTTGTGTCCAAATTTCCTAATCACTCCAATTGAATACAAAAATACCTTTTCTCTGTTTCGAAGTGAAAAGTAATTTCCGATGGTTTCATGCAAAAATACTTTCTTCCTTCTTACTTGACCTCTTGGTATATGAATATACACAGCGCTTCAGCAACTATGAAAATTATTTCAGGCCCTGCAATTAAAAAAAGATTTCCAAAAGCTGTGATTTTCCCACTTCGAGATGTCGCGTTCTTATTTGATCAACCGGTATATTAATATACAGGGTGCTTCAATAACTATAAGAATGATTTCAGGCATTTAAAAGAACAATTTCTAAAATCAGCGATTTTCTCACTTTTCTACATATAGTGTTCCGTTCTCATTTAACCATCTGTTTAAACAAAATATATACTAATATACAGGGTGGCTTGAAGGCACTTTAAAAGAAAAATTTCCAAAAACTGTGTTCCATTCTTATTTTACCACTCGGTATATCAATATATAGAGTGCTTCAGTAACTATATGAATGACACTTTTATTGACAAGACATTCCAAAAGTTGTGACTTTCTCACTTTTCCAGATGTAGTAGTGTTCTGTTCTTATTTAACCACCCGGTATATGAATATACAGGGTGCTTGAGTAACTATTAAAATGATTTCGGGCGCTTTTATTTAAAAGAAACATTTCCAAAAGCCGCGATTTTCTCATTTTTCGTTCTTATATATCGGTATATCAATATACACGGTGTTTGTGTAATTATCCAAATGATTTCAGACACTTATTAAATGAGATATTTTTGAAAGCTGTGATTTTCTCTTTTCTAGATGTAGTACTGTTCTGTTCTTATTTAACCACCCGGTATATGAATATGTAGGGTGTTTAAGTAACTAATAAAACGATTTCGGGCACTTTTATTGAAAAGAAAAATTTCCAAAAGCTGTGATTTTCTGTTTTGATGAGATGCAGTATAGTTCCGTTCTTATTTAACCATCCTGTATATGAATATACACGGTGCTTGAGTAACTATTAGAATGATTTCGGTCACATTTATTTAAAAGAACAATTTCCAAAATTTTGATTTCTCCTTTCGTGATGCAGTAGTGCTCCTTATTTAACTCCCCGATATTTCAACATACAGGGTGCTTCAGTAAGAGTAACTATAAAAGTAATTTCTCACCTTTTCATGTAAATAAAATTCCAAGAACTGTAACTTTCTCACTTTCTGAGCTACAGCGGTTTTCCGATCTTATTGGGCTACCCAGTAAATCAATATACAGTGTGCTTCAATAGGAATGATTATTATAAAATTGATTTCAGGCCTGTTTTTATTTAACCCCTTGATTATACATATTAAAGGGGGGGGGGGGTATCCCAGACTGCTTAAACAATGTATAGAAGATTTATGATTTTTGTAAACCGCGTCTGTATTTAAAAAACACCAGGCGATCGTGTTGCCATCGAGCCCGGCGTGGGCTGTCGAAAATGCGATCACTGTCGCGGCGGTCGTTACAACCTCTGCGACGAGATGGCGTTCTGCGCGACACCTCCGTACGACGGTAATCTCGCCAGGTACTACACGCACGCCGCCGATTTCTGCTTCAAGCTGCCCGACCACGTGTCCGTCGAGGAGGGGGCGCTTTTGGAACCCCTTTCCGTTGGTGTCCACGCGTGCAAGCGGGGCGACGTTCGGTTCGGGTCCGTCGTCTTGATCCTGGGCGCCGGTCCAATCGGATTGGTCACGCTGCTAGCGGCGAAAGCTTTCGGCGCTTGCCACATAGTCATAACAGGTGAGTGTCGCCCCCTTCTCTCCACCTTTGATGCTATCCGTTCGTAGATATCTTGCAGTCGAGGTTGGATAAAGCCAAAGAAATGGGCGCAGATTACGGCGTCCTCGTGCAATCCGGCGAATCTGACGAGGCCGTTGTACAGAACGTAATCGCGGCTCTAGGGTGTCGACCGACTGTCAGCATTGACTGTGCAGGTGTCGAACTAACAACCGCCGTCGCCATCAAGGCTACCGTCTCCGGTGGCATGGTGGTGCTTGTAGGCTTAGGCGGTAATCCCACCATGAATGTGCCCATCAGTGACATTCTGCTTCGAGAGGTGGACGTTCGTGGAGTATTTCGCTACGTCAATGAGTAAGTAGTCCCCCCTTCCCCGCCCATAAGCACACTTTGGTTACAGTTATCCAACTGCGTTGGAAATGGTTGCGTCCGGAAAGATTGACGTGAAGCCGCTAATTACTCACAATTACAAAATGGAGGACACAATGAAAGCATTTCACACTTCCAGAACTGGCGAGGGGAATGCCATTAAAGTTCTAATACACGCTAATCCCCAATGGGGCCACTAAACATGGTTGTTGCATTTAATTTGCTATGTACTTATGATATAAGTTAAACGCTGGCAATAAAAATTAAGAATAGAGGGGTTACTAGAGGGGCCTCGAGAGCATAAACACTTCTTACAGTCGTATTAGTTATTATTTTCGTTAAGAGAGGATGGTATAGTTATAATTCATTTGTGTTTGGTATTTTTGTCGTGAAGAGACGCTCCCAAGGATGGGAATAGTGGAACTAAAATAATTATTACATCTAATCTCTCGAATTTCATCTATACGCTGGTAATTCCCGAACGTGGGACCAGTTACCTATCCCAGGGGTGGGACTCTGCTAATAAAAAATTCTTCGATTTAGAATCTATGGTCGATATGAGTTGCGTCCCTGGTCACAGCACACAAGCCAGTTCGGGAAGAACGCCGTGAAACTTGAACCGAACAAGAGCGATCTCTTCAAAATCCCTATAGACCTCGAGAAAGCCGGCCTCACCTTTAAGTCGCACCTTCTTAAACTTTCCATTTTGGGTGTCTCTGATCTGTCTCAGGTGCAGGTCAAAGGAGACCATACTTTCTCAGAACTACTGTTCTGCTTCCGAAGAAGCCCTCTCCTTGCCAGACAAATCCTTGAAGGTGATGTTCTGGATATTTGATGCGACGATGCCACGCGCAACCATCGGATGGAATGCCTGTCGGATACAAGGACCATGTCCGGATCGTTTGGTGCTTTAAATGCCAAAAATTCGGTCATATTTCTTTCGACTGCCATAGTGAAACATCCCGACTATGTCTTGGGCAAGTTAAAAGACTATCAGCAGGCGATTTTAATTGCAAGTTGCCGCTTTGGCACTCCCCGACGACCTCATTGCGGGAGGTGACCTATGTGTTGTCAACCAAATGGAATCTCCCAAAGAAGTTTCTGCAGTTCTTCCCACACTTACATATATGGCTTGAACATTTGGTTTGACAGACTAAGGCATTCACACGTGGTCAGAAAATTTCAGTTCCTATTCCTCAAGATCTACCTGGGGTCTTGCAGAACGGTACCCAACGATTCCCTATGCGTTATTGCTAAGCATCCTCACTTCCTGCAGGAAATATACTGCAGCAGTATCTATCTATTTAACGACCGCATTTCTACCAATGACTCTTTTCGATCGCCAAGCGTCACATAAGGCCTTTGGTCCTGGGTGAATGGCAGCGGTCGTATACGCAGTACCATAGTGTCGTCTCTTGTTCTGTTTCTCTCCAGACCATCCTAGATCCAGTTCCCGATGTTCCTAGTGAAGTGACCTTGTTTTATGGTGCAAGGTCGTATCTTGGTATATCTCAGGCGAAAAAAGCGTCCTTGGTGAAGGGGATTCACCCGGTTATGTATGACCTTTATAACGCAAAGTCGTATCTTAAAATTTCCACGCCAAAAAAACACTGTATGAGTTAAATAATCCCATTGAAGAGAGAGAGATGTGGAGAAGAAGGAGACATGGTGCAAACCAAATTATTTTTCAAAGCGTTCAAATAAACCAAAAAAGTTCACAAAAAAATCACCCGCGAAAGGATGATAATAATATCACTATAATCGGGTAAACATTAGAAGGTGATCAGAGGTTAGCCTTTTTGTATAGATATAACGCGGAATTGGATAGTATTTATTTTACACTGCAATTGGGAAAATAACAAAGACGTGTGGGGTGACCTTGTTTTGTAGTGCAAACTCGTGGCTTTGGTGAGGGGCGACAAAAACGCAAAGTAAAATCGCTTTCTGTTCCACCTACAAGATTGAAAATTCCTACAACTCCAACTTAATTGTTTAATAAATTACAAGTGTGGAATTAATTGCTTCATTTATGACTTGTTGGTTCAATCCAAACGTTGGGAGTGCAACATACTCGCAAGCGTAAGGCGTCTTGAATAAATTATCGCTGATTCATGTGATATATGACAGCGTGGCGTGAGCCACCTCCGAAGCTACGACTGGACCAGATGTCCTTGGTCATGCCCCAATGTAATATGTATCGTGTCAAGTAGTCCATTCATATATTCATCCATAATTATATAGAGCATCTCAAAATGGCAGTATTATTAAACCACTCTTACTCAAACCACATACTTAACATGGTGTCAGGTGTAAAATAGTAGTAAAAGTTATAACACGTTTCTTTACTAAGGTGAACATGGAAAATTTCAAGCCCCCATCATCATTGAATCTAAGCGAAGACGTCGCAGAGAACTGGAAGTTATTTAAACAACGATTCCAAATATTTTTGGAGGCAACCGAATATACTAAAAAATCGGGGTCAGTTCAAGTGGCTATGTTATTAAACACGATCGGTGACGATGGGCTGCAGCTGTTCAATACATTTAATCTCTCGAATGAAGACAGAAAAGATATTGGGAAAGTGTTACAATGCTTCGAAGACCACTGCATACCGAGAAAGAATCAGGTCTTTAACAGATACAAATTCTTTAACCGCAACCAGGCGGAGGGTGAGTCATTCGATAACTTTCTTACAGATTTAAAGAAAATAGCAAAAATATGTGAGTTTGAAAAACAAGAAGAGAGCCTGGTGCGGGATAAAATAATACTGGGCATTAGAGATAGAGGACTACAGGAAGCACTGTTGAGAGAAGCTGACATAAATCTGGAGAAGGCTAGCAACTTGTGCCGAGCAGCTGAAGTCAGCAAACAACAGGTGAAATTAATGCGTGAAGGTAAAGGAAATGAACTAAATATTAATAAATTAAAAATTGGACATAGTAAAAAAGGGACCAATAGCGGTAGTTCTGAAAATGGTCATAATGATAACTATCAGTGTAAAAAATGTGGTAAGACTCATGCAATTCGTGCTTGTCCTGCCTATGGGCTTAAATGTAACCAGTGTGGTCGGTTTAACCATTTTAAAGTAGGGTGTAAACAGGCTAGGGCGACACAAGTCGGGCGATGGAGAAAAGCTGACAAAAAAGGTGTCAACGAATTAGATTTTAATAATGAACGAGATGAACCTGAACAGGCATGGTTTACAAACGAATTGACAGTGCGAAGTATAAAATCAGGTGCTTTAAGTAAAAGTTGGACACATGCGATAATGTTAGACAATCGGTTATCGGTGGACTTTAAAATTGATACAGGAGCAGACATTAATGTTCTTCCGTATAATTATTATAAGACTTATTTTAGCAGGTTTAGCCTAAAGGAGACTAATTCTGTGTTAATAGCATATGGTGGTACTAAAATTGAAACTTTCGGTATTGTTAAAATTCCGTGTAAAGTAAGTGATTCGGTCGAGACTTCGATTTCATTTGTGGTTGCTAAAGTTAATGCAAAGCCAATACTAGGGTTATCAACTGCTGTTGACATGAACTTAGTAAAACGGGTTAACAATGTGTCAAATAGCTTGGATAATGACAATATTTTTACTAAATATAAAAATGTATTTTTAGGTTTGGGTAAGCTGCCTTTTAATTACAAAATTTGCCTCTCGGAGAATGCAGTTCCTACTGTAAAGCCAGCTCGAAGATATGCCTCCTGCATAAAGGAAAAACTGCAAGCAGCGTTAAAAACATTAGAAGACCAGACCATCATATCCAAGGTGACGCGACCAACTGACTGGGTGAATGATATAATAATCGTGGAGAAGAAAAATGGGTCCATACGAATATGCCTCAACCCATCGCAGTTAAATAAGGTTATCAAGAGAGAACATCATGTAATACCGACAATGGAAGAGCTTCGTACAAACTTAGCTGGTAAAAAAGTCTTTAGTGTATTAGATATGAAGGATGGGTTTCATCAAATACCTCTTGATGATGAATCATCTTACCTATGTACCTTTGCAACACCGTTTGGTCGTTACAAATATAACAGATTACCTTTTGGTTTAAGTTCAAGCCCTGAAATATTTCAAAGGGAATTAGAACGTATTTTTGGTGATTTGGAAGGTGTACAGGTATACTTCGATGATCTCATAATAGCAGCAGAGGACGAGGTAACTCATGACAAAATCTTTAGTAAAGTAATGGATAAGGCGAGTCAATATAATGTAAAATTTAACTACTCTAAGATTCAGTATAAAGTTGGGAAAGTTATGTACTTAGGTTTAATATTTAATGAACAGGGTGTTCGTCCTGATAGCAAACAGTTAGAAGCTATTGCTAAGATGCCTAATCCAGTTAATAAAAAAGAGCTTCAGAGATTTTTAGGATTAGTCAATTATTTCCACTCTTTTATACCAAAATTATCTGAATTAACGAATTCATTAAGGTTATTGTTAAGAACTAACCAAGATTGGCAGTGGACCAACAGGCAACAAACAGCAGTAGATCAAATAAAATTAAAATTAATTAATATCACGACTTTAAAGCATTTTAATCCAAAAGAAAATATAGTAATTCAAACTGATGCGAGTAATCATGGAATTGCAGATAGTGCCTGTTGCGCAAACAATAATGTCTTCTTCAAGTCTCAATTGCGCGTTTTCCACGCCCTTTACGAAACCCTTGCGGAGGTGACGGACTTTCAATAATTGTTCCGATAAATGATCTTTTCCAAGAAATAAATCAAAACAAGACTATCAGATTTATTTTAATCACATACACGTGCATGATCGGCACCGTCGAAAATATATTTCGCCACATTTACGTCTTCCTTTAAAGCAGGTATCTTCTTTGGAATGAGTGGAAGAATTGGAACCACTGAATATTGTCGTGATCGATACATTTCTTGGTATTTTATGCGGCACGTTGTCATTACAATCAGGCGACGTACATTTTCGTTTTCCCCTTTGGCTCTTTTTCTTTTGCGAAATTGCAGAGTCGCTCTGCGACTTTGATGGGAGCACCTTCGACGCCTGAGAAGGTCCGCCCTTTTCGTTATTTTGTACCTCTCCGTCTTCCTTGGCAGATTGTTTAATTTGTTCCTGTAGTCCGTCCCGCACGCACGTTAGGTACAAAATTTTCGTACTGCATTTGGGAATTTCCCTCAGCTCATTTCTAATACTTTCCTTCATTTCCCTGTAACTTTCTTCACTAATTTGTTTAATGTCCATAATTAAACGCCTCAAGGTGGCCAAAACGTTTTGAGGTAACATTTTTTGTAAATCTTGACACTAGTAATTTTCAAAATAACCGAGTAACCCTAGCAACCTAATTGAAACAAAGAGCAATGATTTTTCAAGTGGTGGGCGACCGCGCTTGCGATTGGAGCGATCTTGCTCTTGGTAAACCTCATCTCGAATGAGCGCTCAAACCTTGGAGAAAACCTTCAAATGGAACGGAACCTTCTCAACAATTCCTCGGTGGCAGCCGATACTGTTGAATTCAGGGCGAACTGGATGCTCGGGAGACGGTCTTTCCATGCAGTGTGGGATTGGGTCGTCAGTATCGCAAGCTGAGTTTCAATGTCCCGATTATTTCGATCGACGGGGTGAAACCCTAGACAGTAAGATACCGCCAGCATGACTTCTCCAACAAATCCCAGCAAACACAGTCACGTAACGTTACGTAAAATACACGTACATTTTTAGTAAATTACGTCATGTTACCTGAATGGTACGTAATAATTTTAGTACGGGAATCGTGTTGAAGACACGTCATTTATGGGTACGTAAAAGTTACGTATTTTAAACGTTACAACTTACGTCGTTAGGTATTAGGCATTTTGAATAAACAAAGGAGAAAAGTATATTAAATTTATTGTATTTTGCGCGCGAATGTTTTGTAGGTACGAACCAATTATGGTCTGTGAAACTTGCGTTTGCGCATACTGCTACGAAACGGCGGAGTGCGAACCGCCATTGGCGCCATTTTAACGTTCAGCTTCAGAGTCAGTGAAAAACCGTGAATTTTGACTGTGTCCATACGTAATCCAAGAGCAAATTTCATCTGGTATGTATTAATAATCCTTGGCTACGTGGTTTTAAAAGGAAATTGAGGGATAAGATGATTTATTAATTAATTGAATTAAGCATTGTCTTTTATTAAAAGTAACGTAAAATTGTAATCAGATGTCCTAACCTATAATTTGTACTTTCATATGACATAAAATTCTTTGTTTGTGCATTCTGTAGACATGGCTTACGCTGGTGTAGAGTTTGCAGACGACAATGCAGTAGCGCTTATTTGTAGTAGTTGGTTGACCCCAAGGAAAAAACATTTATATTGGCCGCCTTACCAATCTCAAGACCTCTACGATAAAGCATTAAGAAAAAATGAACATCATGTTGAAAGTTGGGTGCAGTACAGTATTAACCGATGTTTTTTCTTTTGTGGTAAGTTATTGAATATATATTTTTGTTATGATGCATGTATGTGTGAAACGATAAGCTGTTCGGTAGTCGCACTGTGTTGTTGGCCCATGATGTATAGACGTGTTGCTTTATTAACCAAGGAGCTCATCAGCTGATGAGATAGAAGCGAGTTTGCACTAATATTGGAGTAAGACAAGACTGTAATTAGACCCACGCTCACAGATTAGTTTAGCAACTCGCCTTATCTTAAAAACAAAATTTTTGTCTAAGTACTTTCTTTGTTTTAAGACGATTTGGAAAAAGGAAAACGAAAAATAAAATTAGCGGAGGTATCGTCAGATATTCAAAGTGAAGCAGAGGAAATTCCGCATAAAAGAATTAGAAAACCTACGAGACGATTGTGTGACAGCGACGAAGACGAGGAAGTAGTGCTTTTTAGTACAAAAAATATACGAGAGAAATTAGATAGTCAGAAATTGCCAAGACCGCCTGCGATTGAAGGTATGCATTAGCCATTCTGTTGAATAAATGTCTCGAAAAATGTGTATTATTACATTTAGGAAATTCAGACTGTTGTAATTCAAAGCAGTTGCCAGCAGTAGTAGTTCCCGCTAGAATCGACCAACCCTACAGCAGCACACCAACCAGTTCGAGATCCTCAAGTACATTAACTGTTATAAGTGGACAAAGTGCCTCCGCCTCATCGACGCCAGGGCAAAATGTATTACATCTGAATTCGCAGGCTGAAAGAATTTGCGAAGCTGTAAATGTGACTGAACGTAAAGATAATGGTTAGTACCATTTACTCTTTATGCAAAGGGTTAGAATGTTTATTATTTTTTTTAGAAATCATAAAGTTGCTACTAGAAATTAAAGAACAAAATAAACTACTTTTGGCACACTTGGATAAAAAAAATAACACATACCCAGCTTCTTTGCCGGACAATTTTCCAGATCTTCCTTGCAATTCGCAAAACGATCTGGACATACTAGACAATTACCTTGAAGATAAAGAGAATTTGAAGTGTTTGGTATGTATTATAATAGGTTAAATCATTAATATGATTTGGGCATTATTACAGATGCAATATTTGTCCCAAGTAGGTGGCAAAGAAGTTGTCCCAAAAGTTAATGCAATTTTGAGGAAATGTTTAAGTAACCAATTGGCCTCCAAATATAGCTTCTTGGGCTCTAGGTTGGAGAAAAAAGCGTTTGCTAATTTGCATTTGAAGGAGGCAGTAGTAGGTAAATGTTTGATCTATAAATTAGGATGTTATTGAACTTATTTTTTTGCAGGAGCAGTTAAATTGGGTACTTCGGTGGATAATGAGCTACGAATTGTAAATGCAATTAAAGAGTGGCTGAAGCACGCGCCCCAAAGGGTAAAATTAGAAGAAGCCAAACAGAAACTGTAAATATTACTTATTTAAGCTTTTAGTGTGTAAGTGTGGGGTATTAAAATGGATAAAATCACCAAAAATTATAAATCTTTTGTGTCTCAACGGCAATTATATAGAAGAATTGCTAGAGATAGAAATCGTATTAACCAGATTTTACATTCATCTGATACTGTGCAGCCAATCAATATTACTAGTTTGCATGAAGATAGATATGAAAATATATTTCAAAGTTCTGAATCAACTTTTGCTGATTTTAATAGTAGCATTTCTAATATTGCCTCTGCTGAGGCTCCTGAAGAAGCAGCATCAGATTTAGTCACTGATAATTCAAATAACACTTCTACATATGAAACTAAGGGTATCTGCACCACATATGGAAATAGTGTTACAGATTTTCCTGTAACAAGTCTTTCTGATAGACTTCGTTATTGGGCCACAAGTAATGGTGTGACACGTACTCATGTTACTAGTTTACTTCATATTTTATCCGATTACCATCCAGAATTACCTCTAGATGCACGAACATTGTTGAGAACTCATAGACAAATGACAAGTCGAAAATTAATTACTGGTGAATATTGCCATTTTGGCATTCTGAATTTTTTTAAAACTTTTTTTCTCAAACATCTTGATTTACTTTCCAGACATGCAAAACTCTCTCTAAGCTTCAATGTTGACGGAATTCCTTTATATCATAGTAGTAACCTTCAATTGTGGCCTATTTTGGCACAAATTAAAAATTTTAAAAGCCATCCTTTTGTGGTTGGAGTTTTTTGTGGGACTTCAAAGCCTTCTCCTTTGAATAATTTTTTGGAAGATTTTATTAACGAATATAATAGTCTTTCTGATGGTTTTACCCTTTATGGTATCAAATGTGAATTAATTATTCACAGTTTTATTTGTGA